GGAGATCCTTCCGTGCTTAAGCTCTGTCTGACGACGTCGCTTGAAGTCCTCTACACTGCCATCCGCAGTAAATCCTGCGGGATCCCAAAATCCGACAGGGGCTTGCACGCCCAACTCATTCTCAAAGGCGCTCAGTGTGACCTGGCACGCATGCTTTTCTAAGACAAACATTCATGGCTTTCATGGGATTCATTCTCTTCACCAGTACCAAAGTAAAGACCGTCTCCATCCCTCTACCAGTACTTGTACCTCCTATAGATAGAAACAAGTTGGCAAGTTTGCATTTCGAGTGTGCTAGAAGAGTTTCAACTCCCAGCTATACCAAGCCGTTCCTCTCGACTGGTCCCATGGCGCACCAGCTGTGGCTTAATGCTGCTACCAAGCGCCTCAGCATGGAATGGAGACAGTTCTAAAAGCTGATTCTAGGGTGTTGAAAAAGGAGCAAGTCAGAGTGAGTCGCAAAATATCTTCCGAATCAAACGCACATCCGCACTGGACTTCTGCTCAAACCACGCTGGCCTTGCGCCCACTGGCTGTCAGCGCTGCAAAGGCTGTGCCAGCCACCGCCAGGGAGGCCGTTCTGCTAGAATAAGCTGCCTGGCATGGGCGAACGATTCCACATGTATTTCAAACAGGAGTGACATCCTCTATATGTCATCTCTATCTCTACAATGACAATGTGTCTTGAACTAAGAAAGTGTTCTGCTCGCACCTTCAGTTTCATCTGTCTCATCTTGGAAATTCGGCGATGGGCTCTCCAATTGGATCACAAGTTCCACTGCAAACTGCACACATGTGCAAACCTTTACTGTATTAATGTTTCTCCAACCATCATCTCTATATGCAAGAGGCGTCACTAATCAACGACATGAAGGCACACTCAGCTACCTCCAGGTTAGGTGCCGACGCAGCCGATGTTCCAGCCGCTGTGGCCTAGGCATTTGGAGCATTGCAGCGATGCTAAGAAGAAGAAGCCTCAGGCACTTGCGATAGCTAGCATGCCTTTACCTTTTTGGGTGCCCAGAAACGGCTATCCAAATCCAGCAACACGTGGTGGATTGAAAAGGATTGCTTTAAGCTTTTGATGCAAATTCAGCATTCTGGGTCAATGGCACGAAGATTGCTGGTGACTGGAGCTGACACAAAGCTGGTGCCAGCAACCAATGCAGCGGCACCTGGTATGCGGGTATGAGGCATGACTCCACCTTGCCTTCCTGATCGTCCGACATTCTATGCACTTCTCAATAGAGAGAGAGAGAGGGAGAGAGAGAGACTTCAGCATTCGTTTGGCGCAAGACACCAGTGTCACTATTGAACCTTCATCGTA